ACAGCACAAAACGCATAGTAAAATAAAATTCGTTTTTCCAGTCTTCATTCACAATTCTCTTAAAAATATCATTTTTTTCTCCTGTTGTTACTTATCATGATTGACTTGGTTGTTGAATCCGGACAGGGGAAGACCCCGAAGCTGAAGTTTCCGCGCGATTACCCTGTAAAAGCTAATTAGCGCTAAGGCAGAAACTGATAAAGTGGAAAAAAAGGGAAGTAAAACGAAGTGGAAAAAATGGGGAAGGGAATATTGCAGTATTTGTAATTGATGAGAAATGTTTCGGTCCATTAAGTCGTGTACATTTCTAATGTAATGTTACAGCCGAACTGTTGGTGGACCGAGGCATGGAATTACGTTATGTGGGTGGCATCTACGCTGGCAATGTCAAACCAACACCTTTCTTATGCCTATGCTTGAAAATGTTGCAAATTCAGCCGGAGAAAGATATCGCCGTCGAGTTTATTCGCCAGGAGGAATATAAGTTTGTAGTTTATCTGTTACTATTACAGGCCATTAGAGGTCCTCCAACTGTAAGCAAATGTACGATAGCTGGTTGGGAACAGGGCGTAATATGGTTATCAGTTGTGCTTTCTGCAGCCACACAAAAGTAAGAATATTTGGGTGCCTGTCACGGATTTTCGGATCAAGCCGACTGTAGAACGCACTTCTGAAGGCTAAATCTTTGCTTATGTTGAACGTTTATCTCGAGCTATGACCAGAGATTGGACGAGGATCGTGGAAACATTTGGAGCTTGCCGGTTTGCGTTCATAAATCATCTCTTGCGGCCCCCCTTGCTTCCCACGATTTTGGCTGCTTAGTCCGCGAAAATCTTCTGACCTGCTGTTTTGAAAGTATTGTGATCTTAACGATATTTCTGTTCAAGATTTTGCTCTTTCATCGTTTACTGACTTTCCCCACCGGGTGGCTTTCTTTGATGATTTCCCATCCGATCCCACATCTTTGTTTCCGCTTTTGTCTCCCTACGGTCAGCAAAGAACAACTTGAGTAGCCTCACGTGTTTCACTTCTTCCTTTGGCTACAACAATATTCTTCACATTATTGAAATCTGATATTGACCTTAAATTTCTTATAGCATCTTAAAAAGATTCTTCTCTTCCTTGTTCGGTTTTAGCTCCGTCATCTGTACGCCGTATTCAGACAGTGAAAGAAAAAAGGCACCGTACATAGAAAAATTTTCAATTTCCTAGTGATAAAATTTTATTTTGAACATGCCCTTTCTGTGCTACAGATATATCCGTGCACTGGGTGCGATGTATATTCGTCTAACGTTCTCATCAATCGAA